AAGGAGCCATCGGAACCTGATTTACCGGACTCGGTGATATGAGTGTACGTTGAGGCTTTGTATAATCGTTTGCTGAAAAGTAGGTCGGATACGATGGCGACTCCTCTACGCTGCTGTCCGATCCTGAGTCTGAAAAGCCGTTTGGGTCATAGTGCGGACGGTACATAGGCGACGATGGTGCAGTTAGTCTTCGAGTACCTGTTGGTTGCGGCTGTGGTATATAATCTCGGTCGTAAGATCCCATAACGTAGGTATGCAGTAATGACAAAAAATTATCCTGATCCTCCTTTTGCTTACGCTGAGACGCACTCACAGGCGTGCGCTTACCAATCAGTGTGAAAGCATATAGTTGTTGAAAGAAAAGACCATTGGATGAATCAATTTTATCAGATGACAGCAATCCACCCGCATACGAGCGCAACCACGGAAACATTGCACTATTGCATGAAGTGTCCGGTGTCTGAAGCAGCGTGCGAGCATCGACAACGTCCATAGAAGATATACTGCTGCCAATTGAGTCTTCTAAATTGATTACACGACGGGTTGTACGGTTATACAATACCTCCAGCTCCTCCTCCTGTGATGTCTGTTTCTGACTAGAGCGTTGAATGTTCTTAGCCTGCATCAGTAGCCACTTGGCTGGCTGCCGCGGATCGCACGAAATGTCGTACGTCTGCGTTCGTACAAAGAGTCTGCAAGTATAGAAAGAAAAAATTAGTTATCTCCATGAAATAGTCATCGTGTTTGTTGAAATGCCTGATTGTACACATACCTGACGGTCAAGCTGTTATCCATGGTGGTGTTAGATGCTTAACTAGGGAATGAGGACACACAGTATGTAAAGAAAATCCATTAGTATGATTTTAAAAAGAGCATATAAACACTCATAAAATATGATCACATTAAAATAATAATTCGGAATAAGTTAGCAATACTGTTTCTCATTTATTAAGTACGTGACATTTTCTATTGTCTTGTATTCAACTATATCCATTCTCTTCGACATTTGGTGCACGTGATTTTGGTGTGCGCTTCCGTTCTTCTCCATTTACTTTGAGAGCTTTAAGTTCAGGCTTTCGCAGCGGCTCCGAGCACATGCAACAAAAGTTAGCACTCTCTTGATGATATTTTTGGAAACACCGCACACACTCAAGAACTTTTGTGCATTTGGGACAATCAAATACTTCCGAAGTAGATGGTGCCGATGGTGGTGCGCTAAGAAGTGTGGGGCTAGCAATGATACCATAGCCAACGAACATAACAAGTGTAGCAAGAATGCGTCCTACGATGGTTTGCGGGGATATATCACCGTACCCCACAGTCGTGATAGTCACAACTGTCCAGTACAGACTCACAGGTATATTCCCAAATTGTCGGTCTCCTTCAATGAGATACATCGCGCATCCAATGACAAGGATGACAGTAAATAAAGCGACAAGAAAGACAGCAATATTTCGACGATTCGTATCGATATTTTCAGTCAGTGCAGCGCTGGCATCCACGAAGCGAGCCAATCGCATGAGTCGAAATACTCTCATGACACGGAAGATGCGTAACACTGCCAAGTGAAGAAGCGGACGAGCTTCAGGGAAGATGTAGGCAAAATACGAGGGGACCAGAGCGCATATGTCCACAAATCCTAGCAGACTGAAGATGAATTTACCCGGTTTCCGTAGACAGGCTATTCGAAGTCCGTACTCAATCGTGAAAAGAAAGGTGAATCCGAATTCAATGACTAACAGGTAGCCGCCAATTCGATCGCTACTCAAATCAAAGTGCGGTTAAGAATTTTCAAAAAACTATCATTTGACATACAGAGTGCACATACCGAATCTCTGTGACGCTATCTAGCACGGCTGCATCCAGAAAAGAGTGTCAGACAAAGTGGTAATATTAAATTGTGATCTTTATACATACCAACCGAAACACTGATTGTCACAAGACCAATCAAAATGAAGGCCACTCGTTGACCCAAAGGTGTACTTGTTCGGAAAAGAACCATGTAAACGCCCATCCAATTCTCTTTCGCTCCTCCTTTAACATCACGATCCACTATAATACCATTTACTCGAAACTCAACAGGTTCCGAGTCTTGCTCCTCAATTCTCTTCTTTTTCTTGCGTGGACTTTTTCCGGATTTCGACTTTCTACGAGATGGCAATTCTCCAATTGGCATTACTTGTTGAGTTTTTCCTGGATCTCTTCGTTCTTGTGAATCAACACTTTCTTCAGAAGCAGCAACATCTACTCGAACGTTCAGATCTTCCGTCTCGCCGGGTACACCCTCCACAACTATGCTAGAAACGTCATCGGTATCAACTAGACCTTTTTTTTCTTCCTTTCGACGTAATTTCCTCTCTAATTTTCTTTCTGATGCCATGCTGATAGTTAGTTGACTACTCGAGTCGGCGACGGTTGAATTCGTTTCTAGCAAAGTTTAGATTACGTTCTAAATTAAAACACTGCTTTTGATTCTACGTATCTTTACCTCCATTGAACACTTGATGCCTTTTTAGCGCTTTTGCGAAGTGTATCGGCACGCAATCGATCCGCTTGATGCTGAATCGTCTCGTTCACGAGCCATGTGAAGCCGTTAGTTAGACTCAAAGTAGGTGAAGAAAGTCCGGCTCGGCGTTGCGCCGATTCGGCATCTTTCGCTACAGCCAATTCGAGTACGTCTCGAAGTAGTCTACTTTTCATATTGCAATCTTCTCGTGTTGTGGTAGTAAGTGACGGAGATGCATTCACTTCAACCAGCCACGGTTTTAAGGTTTCGTCCACTATGATGTCATAGCCATAACATTCAAAGCAGTGTGGATCATTTATAATCACGTGCTGTACTGCTTTTAAAGTATGTACCATAATACTGTGGATATTTTGAAGAAGCTTTTCTCCTGAGCCTCGGCCACGTGTAGCTTCCACATAGAGACACAGATTCTTCAATTTCCACTTCCCACCATGATTATGGTTGTAATCTTCATTATTTTTTTGCACAGCAACATTTGTAAGATGCATGAATTGATTGTCCTTATCATCTGGAGCAGCAGAGTATTTAACGTTGCAAAAGCGAGCGAATCCTTCTTGATATACAAACGCTTGCATAGGTCGATACGATAGCACGAGCACATACATACGAAGGTCAAATTTTTTGCCACCAATCAGCAATGGATTCTCAATGTAGCGAGAAACGACATATCCCTCTTTGACCGGCGTACTGGTCCGTGGCTGATTTGCCCACTTTTTCGTCTGTGACAACTTGTTGATGATGAAAATCCCTCTACCTTGCGCCTGAGAGCACGGTTTCATGATCCACATAGCATTCGGATGGCGTCGAAACGCTTCAACAAATAGCGAATAATCTGCGGGCAATGTGTATGTTGTGGGGAGAAAATCGAGTGTCTCGGTAAGATTCACCGTTAATTTGCTATTGTCGGTAGCAGCAGCAGCGAACATCTCTTTTTTGTAGCGTTTGATATTCTTGACCATTAAGTCTTTGCGAGTGAGTTCGTAGTGATTTGGAAAGTGATTGACGTACTGATTATCCATCAAGCGCACTCCAGTCTCGGGGCTGAACATGTTTTTGATCGTGGATTTGCTAGCCCAATAAATGTTCCAGTCGTCGCCTTCAGTCTTGGTCCAGCCACGACGCTCAAAACTCCACACGACGACATTCTTTTCCGAATCGATTCGCCAACGAAACTTGCTTGATCGATTCGAGGTGGCTGTAGACGCTGTCTTTTCAGTAATCGATGGCACGGCAGCTCTTGTCGTCATTTTTATTTTCTAAAAGCTTTGGACGGATCGAACGCGTCCGACCGTTCATAAACAATGAATTTCAAGTAAATGATTCGGTGAAGATAGGTGACCACTGAAGGAGAACTTATTATTTAGCAATATGAACAAACGTAAAGAACAACTTGTCGGTCAAAACTCAAACTTCTTTCACAGTTAGCTCAGCCTCCGAAGATACGGATGAGCATGACGTTATACCAGATTTGTCATCCGTGAGCGCATCTCCAGAGGTCTCAGACATCATATCGGATGATCGACTTCTACTGCTTGTCGCACTGCGAAGCAGGCGTCCACGGCGTCGCATGGTAGAGTAGTATCGATTTTTAATCGCATTGTCTGTCCGCCCAGGTAACAAACGCGCGATTTCTGCCCATCGGTTGCCAATACGGTCGCGTGTTGAAAATATCAATTCGTCCTCTTCTTCTGTCCAAGCTTCTTTGTTGACTGCTGGACTCAGGTGGTTCACCCATCGCTCTCGACACTGTTTGCCACAACGTCCAGGTAGTAGCCGTGCAATAGCCGTCCAGTCGTTTGCTCCCATTCTCTGAATCGCGTACTCAAGCGCTTCATCTTCTTCTGGATTCCACTGACGCTTACTCAACTTAGAATTTGAAGCTGACGTTTTTATTCGCTTGCATTGCGGCGACATGTCGCTTTCAATCACCGCTGCATCGTGTGCAGGTGATACAAGCGCTTCCTCACTCAATCCAAATTCATGTCCTTGAGTCTGGCGCTTTTTACTAAACGCTTTGTGCTCCATAAAAGCTGGTCTCATGCCGATTTTTGCTGCAAATCGCGGTGACACACCACGAAAAGCCATTTCGACACCAGTTGCCATCGGCGAGAGCTGCATTTGCATATGCATCGACGGAATTTGCATCTGCAGATCGACAATATTCATCAGACGAAGTAAATCCTGCTGCAACGATAGTACACTTCTTTTCATAAACTCGCGTTCGACCTCGCGCTCTTGTTCACGGTCTAGAAGCTGTTGTGTTAGTAGCTCTTGGGCTGCTAAACGATCTCTGAGGTGCTGCACTTCATTCTTCTCTTTGCTTTGACATTCTGTAGTAGACTTCAGCTTGATGTCTTGCACGTTAGATGCTGTATCCTTGTATTGATTGCAATCGTGGGGCTCATTCTCAGGCTCCATCGCCAGCACTCAACTCTAGTTCTGGTACGAAGCGTCGCCGTAAGATATTTATTAGATTAAACACTTATGTCATGATTGCTTGATTAAAAGATTATAAAGGTTTATCATACTGTCATGTCAGAAGCTGATGCATTCATCTTCGCAGTGCTGCAGCAAAACGGCTGGTACGTCCACGTTAATCATGTTGGGAGATTATTCACATATTAATGCGTTTAACGTTATCTTCCGTTGAATCTTTAGGTTGGAAGGGGACTCGACATGGACGGTAAAAGAGCTCTCGTCCGATAAGCTAATTGTTATCGTGCTCGAGTTTCTGGCGCGATTGCAGGATACACATGACGATTTGACGCTAAACCTGCCATGTGTGGAGGCCAAAGCACCGGTGGGTGTAGCAGCGCGGCATCGTATTGGTTCACAGCTTGCTAATATTCTCAAGGTACATGATGATCCTGTTGAGTTTAAACGTGAAAACGTTTCTTATGATCCACAAAAATGTTGTTGCTGTGTCATACAGGAGCTTGGATATGCTGGAGATTGCGGATACAATCATTTCTTGTATCCAACCGAGAAAGAGACACGAAATATTTTGTCGTGGCTTGTGGGGAAGCTACCTAGGTCAAAATTGGAGGAAAGTGAAGATGAAGCAAGTCAATCAAGAGCTATGGACACTAGCATGAACGTCACTGATACGAAGCTGGATAGAAAGCAACTAGCCAGCATTTTTTCTTGTTGGAAGCAAGAAAAGACGCTTCACATGCTTCCGAATCCAAATTTTAAAGAACTGCGAGGCTTTCAACGGCTGCCATTAAAGACTTTTCCACTGGAGTTACCCTGGAATGGACTAAATCAATCGACGTGTTATATCTTCAAAAATTTTCCGAAGGATTGTGTCAAAGCGACATCGCTTTTGGAGGCATTAGCTGTTGCGAAGCGTAATTCTGCTACACTTCTTGATGAGGAAGAGTTCGAAGAAGGAATCGACTTGAAAGCTGTAGATGATCAACGTATACACGAGCAATTTCGTGGAAATGTCACGGATGCACAATTTCAAGAAAGAGAGGTAGAAGACGATGACTTTGCAGCTATTTTGCCTTACCCGTTGTTAATGAAGACACTTCCGGACATTCCATTGGCCTTTGAAAATTTGCCTCCAGCAGGCACTGGGGAATCAACTGAAGATAGCACTTCAAAAGAATTGGCTAATTTAACCGGCATTGAAGCAAGTCCAATCGGTGGGAAAGATGTCGTCCAAATCGACATTTGTGCTGAAGGAGACGAGGAAATGATCGAGCAGCTGCAAAAACAAGTAGAGGAAAGTGAGCACCGTATTGCTGCGATGCGTAAGGAACTTGATCGTGAGCGTGGTGAACTTCACGAAGTTGAGCAGCATATGCAGAAGACGCAAGCTAGTATCCAAGAAATGCGACAGCAATTGGAAAGGCAGAAACAACTTTTAGCTCTGCTTCCTGAGGCTGAAGCAAACATTGCCAAGCTTAAGCACCTTTGCCGGGAGAGTACTGCCAAGAAAGCTGAGATAGCGCAGCAGATGGAGATTGCACGAGAACCTCTTCTTAAGGAGCTTACAGCATTGAATTATCAAAGATCGAGTTTTAAAGCTCGGCGCCGACAGCTTATTCGTGAGATAAAGGCAATGAAAGCAGAGATGCTAGAAATATCTGGAAACATTAATTCCAAGATGGAGAGTCTTCGGGCGCTTGAGAAACATCAAGAGCGACGCCTTATCAAACCTAAAGAAAATGCAAGTACCATGACTCGGAGCATGTATACTTCACGCATCATGGATATCATCAAGCAAGTGCATAAGCAAAAGCAAGACATCGCCAAGATTTTAAACGATATAAATGGTATCCAAAGACAGCTTAATACAGCGGCGGAAAAACTCAAGCGAACTGAAGCAGAGGCTGAAGAAAAACTGTATATTGCTTCTAGTAGGAGCAAAACCACCGGCAGTTCAAAGGCCGATGCATACATCGAATCGTACCGCAAGTTTGCTCACGTACGTGAAATATTCGAAGAGCTTCTTCTGGTGATCGATGATGCCGGAAAAAAAGAGAATGCAGCTCGCGATTTACAAAATTGGATCACACAATTGGAAGCACGTGACAGCAGCAGCCATTTGGACAAAGTATTGGCTGATTTGCAGAGTGTGCGTCACGAAAATGACATCCTTCAGAACAAGTTACGTGCTAGCAACAACAAATAATGAGGCATTCGGTAATATGAGCGAAAAAGAATTGCTTAAGAACGTCTAAGTGGAAATGGCAGCCATCCATTTTCAGACGATCGCGATGATTCTGTGTCTAATATCACTGTAACAAAGGTATCCTTAGTCTAAGCAATTCATGCCAGAATGATGATGAATGCGTACCGCTTAAGGCGTCTGCTGTGGCTTTCGGTACCAGCTCAGCAGTGATCTTGGTGCTGTGACTCATGTCTGGACTCACATTCACCTCAAGTAGCCACACGTGATTATTTTCGTCCACGAGGAAGTCATACCCAAGCCACTCAAAGCCTTGCTACAACAATGCAGGAATAAATACTATTTCTATCGTCCAATGAATTTGAAGGTGCTAATGCCTACCCCGACAACCTCAAGCCTAGGCAGCACAGCATCAAGTGTAAGTTGTACGATGCTCTGCATCTGAGGAACAATTGTTTCACTCCAAACATCATTTCCGTGCTGTTGTCTACACTCATGACAAAGTAAGCCCAAATTGCTCTAACTATCCAGCGAATCGAATCACGTTCACCTCAACATATCTTGAAATTGCTCTGATGACCACATAGGCTCAAAAGCATTCACGTCCTCATCTTGATTACTTCTTGAGTCATCCTCTACGTCCCTTGCAAAATGTTGCTGCACCGAGTAATTGCTTAGATGCACAAATTGATCGTGTAAGTGCGCCAAGTTAAACTTTCGAGAGCAAAATCGCAAATAACTTTTAAAAAACCAAAACACGATCGGATCTGGCTTGAGTGCGGTAATTAACACCCACTGGCGAATATCAAACTTGCGGCCATTTTGAAGCAGCAACGGCCGTTCAATGTACTTTTGAACCATCCACTTGGTCTGTATCATTGATCTATCTTTTATCTCATCTGAGTTAACGGCACAATTCTTGTCGGGAAAGAGGAGTTTTTCCATATCCTCAGAGGTATTGCACAGCACGATACCTCGTCCTTGTGATAAATTTGACGGTTTACAAATCCACACATTACTGTCATCACGACAGACCGTAAGAAACTGAGGATCTCTTTGTTCGAGCTGTGTTAAAATCTCTTGAATTTCGCATCTTCTGTCTTGATTGAATGACAACTTCTTCAATTGTAAGCCCAACGTCGGACTCGCAGCAAAATTATCTCGTGCTACTACTAAATCACGAAGGGCATCATTCATTCTCCAACACTGAAAGAAATTTTCAGTAGCAATGACAGCTTGAGTCAATTTCATCGCACCTTGAAACTTCTGCTCATCAATCGCCATACTCTCGATAAAACTCTGTTGAAGAATCTTCACAGCTTCAACGTAGCGAAACCAGAATTTTAATCGTAGAATATCCTCCGAAATACTCATATCAAAAGTTCGTGGAAACCAGTGATCTACTTGTATCTGCGCTCTTTGATTGTACAACAGTTGAGCTAGTTGATTCTTCTGTGACAAGAGCACAGATTGGTGCAAATGGTTGACAATTTGTTGAGACGTTACCTGTTTCCACGCGATCTTGGCATAATTTGTCCATTTGAGATCAAATTTGGGACAGCTTACGAAAGGGAGTCGCCGCCATCCACGCGCCTCCAGCTCGGCTACGACGTCTGGAAACTTGTCGTCTACCGCGTATAGCTGCGCTGGCATCGCATATATTGGCCAATTAAAGTTTAATATAGCGACATAGAGGCAATAGTAGGGATCATAGTTGTTAAACACGTGAGTTACAAGAACAGTTTTTATAATCTAACCTTTGATCGTATCAATATTACAGGAACATTAAAAGTGACCGGAAACCAATAAAACATCACGCAACGTAGCATTCCCAGCAAAGCACTAGTGAATACCCATATGTAGGGACTTCTGATATTGAGGGCTTACGATGAGAGAGTAAGTTGTCTGCGTTCACGACATTTTTGCAGAGCAACAGAATAATCTCATCGTATACTTGTCCACTAATTTGCACATCGAATGCTCCCAAGTCAACATTGCTGCATTTCAGCTTCGTAAGGAAGCTAAACGCAAATTATTGCTGTCGATTGAATGAATTCATTGGAAATCTATCATTCGATGATGATGACGAGAGAGGGGGGACTAGAATTTAGTGCATGAGCATGCGGTGGAATAGCTTTTCAGTTCGCTATACAGCGATACCGTGAAGCGTACCCTGCAACGACAGTTGCTTCGTATTGTATTCAACCCAGTTTACCAAATGCGTGATGATTAAGAACACAAGATTACAATACTTGTTTCACTCTCCTTTACATCGATGCGGACCGCATTGGCATTCACACATATTGAATCTAATTACGATATTTTGGAATATTGATCACTTGACAAGCAGCTCCAAGCTCTGCAATTAACCATGCATGCTCATTTACGTGTACTTAAGTAGACACTAATTCCTGTTTACCGAATAAAAGGCTCAACAGCTCCAAAAAGCTCAATAGTTGGGCCCGACGCGCCTAAAGAAATTCCCAGTGAAGATGCCTGAAAGCCCTTCGATTAGAATACTTTCTGAGGCTTGACCGAGCACCAGGAATACTTAGTTTAGCACTTCCCTAAGGTGGGGACACCCACTGTGCTCAGTCTTCACTGCATGAGTCCCAGACTCTGTGCCCTGCCCCATTGGACATCCCGCCATACGAGACACAATGTTTTCCAAAATACAATCAGTCATTTGAGTGTGATGAACTCAGTTTCAGACCAAGCAACGTCTCTATCAGCCCGTTTAGCTAAGCTACCTTCTGCTCCAAAGCAGCGACGTGGTATGGTCCGCTCGAGCTTTCTCTAACTTAGCATTGTGGTGGAATCCGGGATCTTTTTTATCAAAGCCTCCGACGCACACCAAGTATCTCGAGACGTACCGCACAACCGAGAATAGCTCACGAGAGTCAGGTCGACACTCTCGATGAGTAAGGGGCGACCATTTTTTTTTTAATTAAACGTTCAATGGATTGGCGGGCGCACCATTCTAGTTCTTGATCGAGTGATGATGTTCACTGTCTGATTAAAATAATGGGAGCTTGCTGGCAAGATTGCCCCAGAATCATAACGTGCGACGTGGTGCACCCAGGGCCTTTGTTTCTCTTACAAAGGAGACAGGATTGGTCGCCCATCGCAGCGCACATTTTAATAATGAGTGTAAGGCGACTGTCCTTGCAAAGAAACCCTGGTCGGTAGCTGTTACAACTGTCACATGAAACAAGCGAGGCTGCAGACAGCGGAGCGTGAGGTGATAGTCGGTCAATTTGATGCCCGCGTCGTGCTGATAGCTTTGCAAAGTATATAAGATGAAGACGCTCTAAGTGGACGTTTGCTTTGCTATAATAGACTTAATAAGCCTTTTCGACGAGTGAGGCGGCGTGATTCCTCACCAAGTGATCGAACTGAGGCATTTACTCAGTAGCGCTTCTACCAGCTTCTAGGCCAACGCGCACAGGCGCAGCGAAGCACAGTGAGCGAAATGACTCCTTAATCACCTTCATGACACACTATTTAGGCACAAAATCGCGATGACTTGAGGTCTTGCAGTAAGGCAAGCTGGGCTACTTGAGCCAGGTGCAGCTCGATAAGCTTTAGTAAGCTCAAATATAACACTGGGTGTGTTCACATTTTGGTTGGATATATCGAGTATATCATCGCTCGAGCCGTGAGTTGTGCGATGCAATGCGGTCGCGATTCAGCGTATAAACCGCAGATAAATACGCAAGCATTGCTTAAAGAGCTTTTTGCCTCACAGCAAATTCGATATGTTCCGCCTGCTTTTATTTGTATTTGCTTTCTACCACAGCGTCGCGCTCTGCGTAAGATGCTCAATAAAATCATCAATCTTGCAACGAAGTATGCACGGGCTGACATTAGCAGGTATATTTGATCGAAGCCCCCCCCGCTGAAAACGTAGTCATTTCGCGGTCCCAAAGACAACGGCGACTGCACAAACCATTTATGCAAAGTGGAAAACGCCAGTAGAAGCATGTATGGTGTTACTCAACGCAACTTGGTGAGTAGGAGCAATTGGCTATAGCACCGCAGTATTTTCGTGCAGGTATGTTCAGATTCTCCCGAGGATATCACCCAAAACTCAATGCATACGTTCTTTTGACCATCGATTTCCGAATGGTCAGCAGTTGATATCTCCAATTTGGCGTCGAGAGCCTTAACTTAAGATTTGCAAAATATTCAGTGCGAAATTTCACTTGATACAATGGCTTCCACCGAATCCATTAGCTTGGTCTTATCCTCACCGATTTCATTACCGCAGACAGCAGCAAGATGAATCATTTTGCTCAAACAATCCACCCATACCAGTTTTGTCAGAAGCTACTTCCGGAAGTCCGAGAACAAGCCCATAAGGATGGACTGCATTTACCGAAACCGGCAGGCAAATAAAAAGTGCCGCCACATGCATTAAGGATTAAAAGTTCACGCGTGCGCACCTATGTGATTACCCACTTAATATGCTGGACAGTGCTTTCCAAAAATATTTCGTTTATCTTCGCGGTAGCCCTTAAAGGGCAATCATGTGCCTCAATCAGAAAATTGTACTTACGATCCTCATCATGAGGCAGTGTCTCACGTTGTGGTGACACATACGGGTCAGTAATATAAACCAGGAAGCCGTGGGATGAAGCATAGCGGTGCATGCGTACAACGCACAATTTGAGTCATCAAGCTGTTTTCTTTCTTGAGATTTTTGAACGGAACGTCACATATTGCCGCTGGGTTGTACGTTGTCGTCAAAGCTTTTATTACGATGCACGGCGAAAGCGCGCACGCCGGTGCATCAAGATGAACTGACTTTAACCTTACCACAAAGAGTTTCTCGGCAATGATGAATAATCGTGTTGTCGTTCTCAGCAAGGGATGTGATGACGATGCCTCTGTGTGCACCAATGTATGATCAATACAATCACCAATCAGGTGTTCTCTCAGCGTGACGAGAGCACACTCATTTGCAAATCGCTTTTTGCCAAATACATGGATATTCTGCTCAGCAGCTATTGGCGGGCTAGTCTAAAAGTGATCATGCTCATTGGTATCGCTTGGAACAATGTGCAGCCTACTTCAACTGCTAGAAGGTCACATTCGACGTGTTATGGCCGGTCTGGATCAGAAAACCGAAATCAAGGCACATATGATGATATTTGACAGCCCTGAAGATCGTATCGTTTGCCTCAATTTGGCACCGTTGATTTCCTTTCCGCAAAGATCGTCGAGGGTGTGAGTCAACAAAGTTTGTAATGTACTTGCGCAAGTATTTACAAAGCCAGTTCGGACGCACTGACAAAATTGAAATGGTCTTTATCTTTGTAGAAGTAACTGTAAATCCTGGTATTCGATGAGACAATCAAATAAAAATCTAGCCGACGCCAACGACACACTTGTCTATAATGACGAGTAGCTTTTTCAAATGCATACACTTGCAATCATTTAATTTGGGTTTTACATCTGAATTCCCATACTCGTTACGACGATTGACAGATATATCTTTTGGAATAAGGTTCTCCATAACCACAAAGTTTACAGAACAATTGTGTCTTGAGTCAACTGAACGAAACTGGTATATCAAAAAGTCATGGTGGTATAATCGACCACTGTAAGAATACCCCGCTCGGATTAGTCACCGCACTGAGAGGGATCTTTCATATGAGGTCACTCCCATCACACATGTTGCATGAATCACATAATTATATATCTTGCATAGTTGTGTATTCTGCTTTATTGCGATTGCAGCAATTTATGTTCTAATTGAATCAAGACGAAATAAGTCAAAGCTTAGCAAATTTTGCTGCGGATTTTCGGGGTTTTCATCGCAGAACATACCTATACCGGCAGTGGCAACATTGTCGGTACGAACGGAACGTCCCGTGAGAACAAGACAAAAAGTTTTCTTGCGAACAAAGAAAAAAAAGTTGCGTTTTTCGACAGCGGAAATGGACATCGCTACCACAAAAACCCAACTTCGTGATGACCGCAGTCATGTGGCCTTCGCCATGTCGCATTTTGATGGCCGTGCGAAAGATTGGGCAATGACATGGGAAATTAAGCGTCCCAGCTACTTTGCCCATGAAATCGTGTTCCTTCCACCGAATGTGGCATTTCGACAAAGTTCGAAATTTCTGTTGTGCGCCAAAAGAACATTACATTGTACGACTATCTGTAGAAGTTCCGCCATTAATTCCAATATGGCAAGCAACCCACTACCAGAGGCAGCGATGATCACTGTGTTCATGGAAAGTCTCCAAGACGGACTTTTTTCATCAGAGTCCGACGACTCTGGAAGATACAATCATGATTGCATAGGGTGAGGAATCAAATATGTGGTCAATCGATCAATCCGATGGATTCCCAGTAGTAGCAGCCACTCTTGGAAATCCAAAACCAAAAATTATTAGGGTGGGGCTGTCCGTAGGCAGCAAATCATCTGTTATAAATGTCAATAATTTGGTCACATCCGCCGTCACTGTCCTCTTGGGAAATGTACCTCTCAATACGGTTCACGTCGTAGTGGTTTCGAGCCGCGTGGTATCACATCACGAGGCGTTCGGGGAACGCCGGTACCCAGTAGACACAGGGCGATCTACTGGGGCAAGTATAAACTCTTGTGAGTATGGTGGTAGAGTCACTCACGGGAGTTCAGCTCTTGAAGAGTTGCTGAACTTCGTTAGCGATTGTTCTCCTCGTAGTCACAGCGATCATTAAAGGGTTACGGTAGTTCGTTTGGACTATCTATTGAATTTGGAGCATTGCGTTACTCGGCGCGGAAGCAAAGGTTGCTGATAGTGGCTATGTACTTCTGGATGCACTAGAATGAAGCAATGATTGTATCTCAGTAAAGTTGGCCAATGGTTCAGTAATTACTGCGAAGAAAAATATGCTTGATCCGTAATTGAAGTCTGAAGACTTCAACTCGAAAGAAGTATTCACAGTTTTCGAGATGTACGAAAGGTTTGACCTAATTTTAGGTATACCACAGCTTTAAAAGCGTGAGCCATGAATTGATTGGCGATCGAAAATGATCGAGAGTTGCTTTCTTAGCGTAGGTGAAATCTTTGGTAGTATTGAACCCACATTAACCATGCACCAAAAAAATCGTTCAAGCACTCGGCATTCGTTTGCTGCTGGTAATGATCCAAACTTCACTAGCATATGTCAAACAATTGATAATCCTCAGATAAGGAAGGATACGGAGTCGAGCAAGATTGTCCCGGTCACTCCATATAGCACTTTCATCGAAGCCGAAGACTCGGCTAGATTGTCCATCCGTCACGTTTTTTGTAGTCACGGGTTACCAGATACCATCGTCTTTGATCGCGGTACAGCAACGGCAACAGTACGTGCCAACCGAGTGGTCGGTGAAGTGTTGAGAAGCTTTGGTGCGAGAAACTCGCAAATGGAGTTCGTTGATACCATTGACAAGTTTGCTATGAACAATTTGATTCTTCCACCAACTGAATTTAAGCTGTTCTTTCTGAATGGCTTACGAACCCGCATTACCGCTTTGTGCGATGGGTAGTGTCTCTAATGTAAGTGGGGAGGAGCTCGGTAAATCGTGGCATCTCGAAATTATACATCCAATGATGCAAATGTGAAGCGCAAGTACAAGGACGCTCTAAAATCTTGCATCTTGAGCCGTGTAAACGTGGTCATACGTATGCGAGATGCAATCGCGAATGCACAAAACGTATAGAAGGAATACGCAGATAGACGACCTCGTTGTCAAGGAAATTATTGTTGTTGATTATCTACTACTTAGTACCTAGAACATATCAGACGATGCGGCCTCAAGCTTAGGAAGCTCGGAACTATTACCTCACCTCCTCGGTTCGTTCTGACTAGTATCATGACATAGAAATACTTATACTATTGACCTGCCAAACTAATTAAGGTCTTATCCAAAGTTCTACGTAGAAAACCGCAAGACCTATCATCGCGACGATGCGACTTCCAAACTTGACGTGACGCAGGCTTGTACGAAAATTGCTTCAGAGCACGATGGTCAAAAGTCACACCCCTCAGCGTCGCCGCCTCATCATCATCTTTAGAGTTACGAGGATCATCGTGAGCGTTGGGACCAATTGAACGATCGTTAGACTCGGAGCGTCCAGAATAAGCAAACGGCTGCTGATTGTGTCAGCAATTACCTCAGGAAGCATAACCACCCGAGTCAGAGCTTGGTCGCTTGGCAAGAGGCTCCACATCATCAGCGACAGCCGCCACAGCAGGAATAAGATCCTGCCCCAATCGTCGATTCCGATTTTCAATGGCATCCCCAGGCAAGTTTCCATAACGTCATGCGAGATTGCGAACGTCGCAGACGATTCGCCGAGTATCCTTCACGCGTTGTCGCGCCCTCGACTCGCGATCGATTACCACGATTATCTGCCGATTCATTACGAAGAGTTTTTTTTCATCTTCGTTGTAAATCAGACAAAGATTGTGGGACCGCCACAGAAGAAGCAGAGGGGGCGCCTTCTTTAAACGTCTTCCCCTCTAAGAGCTCCGTACTCTTGAACACGTAACTTGTATGCAAGCGGGGCTTGCTGGGCGTAAATACGACCGTGAAGGGCATTGACAAGCTTTGGAAGATCCTTATCAACTCGGGGCGTCGGACAATGATGATCGAAGCTTCACGATACAAGGAAGTCAGCTGTATGCTGAGGCGCTGGAAGTGCGGGATGGGACATTGTCACTTTTCGCTTAGCGACGGGGACATGTGTCTACGTGCCGAGGGTCCCTGTGGACCTTGGTGACAATTTTTTTGACTTCGATAGCGTGGAACGCGGCTTAATCTTGACTTGGATATAAGGTATGGCCTTATCCTTGGTATGGTATGGTTGGAACACCATGAGCAATGGATCGATTGGAGGTCGACGACCTTGGGCGCTACGCGCACGTCTCCTGGTGAAATTTTAATGAGTCATGAACCCACCTCTCTGCTAGAGGCAGAAACGTTAGGCGCGGGCACTAAACCGGAACGGTCAATGCGCTGGAGATCGAAGTATTCGATTTGGCGAACAACGAAGGTGTATCGGACAGGAGTCCCGAGCATGGCTCACGGGCTGAACGTGGAGTGGCACGTACCCCTCTGAGCATTGCTCAAGTTTTAGAGCAGTCGCTGCATGCCACGAGTAGAGGCATCGAGGGCGAAGCCCCATTGATGTACGCGGAGTGGCACGTAATCCACTGTGCACTGCTCACATTTCAAAGCAGTTGCCGCATGACAAGAGTGGCATGGTTGGACGAGGTCCGAGGCATCTTGGGCAAGGCCCTTCAGATGCGCGTGGAGAGGCCTGGACGAAGACTGCGGAACTAGCAGTTTTTCGTCGGTTGTTGTTAATAGCATCAAGGCTCCGGTAAAGCAGGAAGTGGGGCTAATACTGGACGACGTTGAGTGTGTGTTCCTACTGGTCTCGTCGAGACATACAACCTCCGTGAGGAAGCGACAGCGACACCGTTTGTTACCTGCAAGACGCCGGGCGTCGACCCTGACCCAGGATATGTCTACTGTAGACGATAACGCACAGCTATACACCCTCGTCAACGGTGTGACGGGAGAGGAAGACGGCGACGACACCCTCGAGGTATTCCTGCGGTGAATGCTTTTCTTGGGCTGGACAATATGTCCTTCGAAGAGTTCGGCAGTCATTTGAAGACAGGCGACTTAACTGTAGTGGTCATTATACGACCAGAAGAAGAGATCAACTTGTCGTCACTTCTGAATGAAGCTGTCCTGAAGGACATCAAGAGGATGTTGTACGCACGAAGTGGATCTTCGATTCTGAAGACATCCTCGGATCCGTACTATCCTTTGGTAAAGGAACTTCAAGAGGTCGACTTCAAAGACCCGCCATCAGTCCTAACTTTACACCGAGGTGTGCGTCATGCCATCGGCCTGGTTCGATAGCCAAATAATGCGTAACACACCAATATCCCCTGTCCAAGCATCAATGACGCCTTCTTTCGCGCGAAGCACGACGCAGGAACGGCCCGCGAGAGTAAGTCTTTCCATTCGACACCCACACTTTGTGCCCGGAAGCCGAACGGCAAGTGGCGTATTGTTCACGCTTCACGCTGCCATAATTCCGGCACAGACGCCGATACCTAAGAAAGATGTTCTCTAGATCAAAATGGTTGGATGTACAAGTACAGTGCACTCGACTTGGTCGATGGGTATTACCAATCGCTCATGAGAGCAAGTGATATTCCGCTGAAAGGGGCGAG